TACTATAAACAACTATATGACAACAAATTTGAAGATCTGGATGAAATGGATAAATTTCTGGACACATACAAACTACCAGACCTGAGCCAAGAAGATATAGAAAATCTGAACAGACCAATTAGAATAAAAGAGATTTAAGCTGTTATCAGAAGGCTCCCAACAAAGAACAGACAGGTTCACTGCAGAGTTCTACCATACCTTCAAAGAGGAATTGATACCAGTTCTCTACAAACTATTCCAAAAGATTGAAACATAGGCCATTCTCCCAAACTCATTCTATCAGGCAAACATCACCCTGATACCAAAACCAGACAAAGGTATATCAAAAATAGAGAACTATGGGCCAATATCCTTGATGAATATAGATGCAAAAATCCTCAATAAAATACTAGCAGAGTACACCAACACATACACAAAATTATAAACCATGATCAAGTGGGATTCATCCCAGGGATGAAAGGTTGGTTCAACATAAGCAAATCAATAATTGTGATATACCACATCAATAAAAGCAAATACAAAAGCCATATGATCATCTCTATAGATGCTGAAAAAGCATTTGACAAAATCCAACATTTGTTCATAATAAAGACTCTCTACAAGTTAGCTATAGAGGGAAAATATCTCAACAATTAAAGCCATATATGATAAGCCCACTGCCAATATCATACTGAATGAGGAAAAGCTGAAAACTTTTCCCTTAAGAACAGGAACTAGACAAGGATGTCCACTCTCAACACTCCTATTCAACATAGTGTTGGAAGTACTAGTCAGAGCAATCAGAGAAGAGATGGAAATAAAGGGCATCCAGATTGGAAAAGATGAAGTCAAACTGTCTTTGTGAATGACATGATCCTATATATTGAATAGCCTAAAGCCTCTACCAAAAAACTCTTAAAGAGTTGATAAATGATTTCAGCAAAGTATCAGGATACAAAACCAACACACAGGGCCGGCCCGGTGGCGCACTGGATAGTGTGCCGCTTGGGAAGCATGGCAGCGCTCCCGCCCGAGGGTTCGGATCCCACATACAGACCGGTTCCCGCTCACTGGCTGAGCGAGGCGCGGGAGCAACGCCGAGGGTTGCGATCCCGTTGCCGGTCCCCGGTCCGGTACGGGGGCAACACTGAGGGTTGCGATCTGTTGCCGGACACGGAAAAAGACAAAAGACAAAAAAAAAAAAAACAAACCAACACACAAAAATCAGTTGCATTTCTATACTCTAACAGTGAACATGCAGAAAAAGAAATCAAGGAATCTAGCCCATTTACAATAGCCAGGAAAAAATAAAATACTTAGGAATAAAGTTAACTAAGGATGTGAAAAATCTCTATAATGAGAACTACAAACCACTGTTGAGAGAAATTAAAGAGGACACAAGAAGACAGAAAGATATCCCATGCTCTTGGATTGGAAGAATTAACATTGTGAAAATGTCCATATTACCCAGAGTGACCTATGTATTCAATGTAATCCCCATCAAAATTCCAATGACATTTTTCTCAGAAATGGAAAAAAATATCCAGACATTTATATGAAACAACAAAAGAACATGCATAACCAAAGCAATCTTGAGCAAAACAAATAAATAAATAAAATAAAGCTGGTGGCATAACACTACCTGACTTTAAATTATACTACAAAGCTATAATAACCAAAACAGTATGGTAGTGGCATAAAAACGGACACACGGATCAATGGAATAGAATAGCAAACCCAGAAATTAACCCATACACCTATAGCCATCTGATCTTTGACAAAGGCACCAAGCCTACACACTGGGGAAGAGACTGCCTCTTCAGCAAGCAGTGCTGGGAAAACTGGATATTCATATGTAGGAGAATGAAACTAGGCTCATACCTCTCACTATATACCAAAATCAACTCAAAATGGATTAAAGAATTAAATATACACCCTGAAACAATAAAACTCCTTAAAGAAAACATAGGAGGAAACACTCCAGGAAATAGGAGTGGGTACAGACTTCATGAATATGACCCCAAAAGCACAGGCAACCAGAGGAAAAATAAACAAATGGGATTATATCAAACTGAAAAGCTTCTGCACGGCAAAAGAAACAATTAACAGAGTTAAAAGACAACCAACAGAGTGGGAGAAAATATTTGCAAAATATACATCTGACAGAAGATTAATATGCAGAATATACAAGGAACTCAAACAACTTTACAGCAAAAAAGCAAATAACACAATTAAAACATGGGCAAAGGAGCTGAATAGGCGTTTCTCAAAGGAAAATATACGAATGGCCAACAGACACATGAAAAAAATGCTCAACATCACTTAGCATTAGGGAAATGCAAATGAAAACCACTTTGAGATACCATCTCATTCCAGTTAGGATGGCTATATCCCAAAGACTGAGAATGATAAATGCTGACAAAGTTGCAGAGAAAAAGGAACTCTCATACACTGTTGGTGGGACTGCAAAATAGTGCAGCCTTTATGGAAAATGATATGGAGGATCCTCAAACAATTACAGATAGACCTACCATAGGATCCAGGTATTCCAGTCCTGGGAATATACCCAGAGGGATGGAAATCATCATGCTTAAGGGCTACCTGTATTCCCATGTTTATTGCACTATTTACAATAGCCAAGAGTTGGAACCAGCCCAAATGCCCATCATCAGATGAGTGGATAAGGAAACTGTTGTATATCTACACAATGGAATACTACTCTGCTATAAAAAAGAAGGAAATACTACCATTAGCAACAACACAGATGGATTTAGAGAAAATTGTGTTAAGTGAAACAAGTCAGGCAAAGAAAGAGGAATACCACGTTGTCACTTATTGGTGAGAGCTAAAAATAAATAAATACATATACAAACAAATAAAGGGGGGGAGAATACACAACAATCACAACAATTCCTCGAACTTGTTAAGACAAGTTAACAGATTTGATGTAGTGGGGGGGAGGGGAAAAAGGGGGGGGAAAGAGGAACGGATAAAGGGACACAAAAATCAACTACAACATACATTGAGAAGTTTTAAAAAAAAAGAAAATAGGAAAAGCCTTTTATAAACTTACATCTATATTTATGTCATTTTCCCCTAGCAGCCTCATACAGCTGCTGTGAGGATTAAATGAGAAGATACATGTGAAACCATGTTGTAATACATTATGTAAATATTTATTACCTTTATCTTCACTATGTCCTTGTTTCAGCCTTCATCCCTGAAGTCCAAATCCCTCAGCAAGACGCACAAAGCCTTTCCTTCTCTATTACTCTCTTCACTTTCTTCTCGGTACCTATCACAGGGTTATGCACATGGTAGTTGCTTAATATGTGGTTAAAGCCAGTGGCAGCTCTAGAATTTGGAAAGCCCTTGGCTGAATGTGAGGCCTTCTGCATTCTTTTGGTTTGATGTTTGTTTTGTATTACTTGATTCAAACTTTTTGCTTGGTCAGTTCACTGCTGACATTTTGAAAATGCAGTATAATTATATTAGGCTTGGTTTGCTTTGTGGTAGGATCGCTTCAGTAGCCAGTAGCCTACTTTTTTCTCTTACTAAGGAGATAAAGTATATTTACGTAAGTCTTGAATTAGCAGCATGACTGAAAAAGTGCTTAATTTTGGTCTTTTCTGATATTTGGGCAATTTTTGTGTTTCATTAACATGTGAATTCTCCACTTAGAATTTAGGAATCGTTATAAAACATGTAGAAATGCTGTCAGAAGTAGGATCCAGGGGGCCTGGTAGCCGTCCTCAACACACCAGTCCTCTTACCAGGTTCTTGACTCCACCAGGAAAGAATTCAAGGGCAGAGTCTCAGTAGAAAGTGAGAACAAGTTCAATATGATAGATAAGAAATACAGGTTCCACAGAAAGAGTGCAGCATAGCTCGAGAGACTGAGCAAGGCTCACGCCAAGTTTAACACAAAAGTAAGTGCAGTACAGATATCAAGTCTAACACAAAAGTGAGAAAAACAAAGTTCAGTATAAACTGCAGGGTGGCTCAAGAGAATGAGCAGCCGCTTACTGAAAGTAAGTTTGATACAAAGTAAACTGTACACATCTCAGCCAGCAGACCACAAGTTACCTCCAGGACAGTGAGCAACAACCCCGCCTTTAAGTGTGATTCAGCTTTTATAGTTTCTCTCTAATGAATATTCAATTAAGGGGGTGGTTCCCAGTTATATGCACTGGGCATATTCTATGCTATCTATTGAGCATACCCAGCCACTAGATTTGCATAAGGCAGCCCCTTGTGGTCTCATATTCCCTGGCATTGATGCTAAAAATAGGTCTAACTGGCCACAGTAACTTCCCTCTGAGGAAGAGCTCAGAGGTGTCTGAAACCTCTGGGAGTGGCTGGAAACCAAGAAGTATGTCCTGAAACTTGAACCCAGGGAAACTGAGCACCTCCTATATCAGAAACAAGGAGATAACCACAATAAAAAAAAAGACAAAGGGTAAGGCTTTTAAGTACTGTATGGAAACACAGGTATGGTTATAAGAATCAAGATAGGTGAAAGTTCCCATAATCTTGTGCATATTTTCTGTTTCCGAAAAGGATTTGAAGCAGTCTACAGGGAAAGCTCACTATAAGAGTGAACCATTAACTAAAAAAGGAGGACTTAGCAAATATCTGAAGAGTCACATAAAGAAATGCTCCCACAACCCTTAGGCGTTTCCTGAATTCATGAGTTTATGGGACTACGGGGCACAACTGGCGGCAAGCCCGGTGAATTCAGGTGAACAGTTGCAAGGGAGGCAGGTGCGCGCCGCAGGAGCACCCGAGCGGCCCAGCCCGCGGGTGCTGGCTCCGTGGACTCGCGCTATGCAGGATCCCTCCAACCGCGGGGGCCGGGCCGGCCCAGTACAGTTCAGCCGGCCGTGCCGGGGGAAGGAGTTTCCGGCGGACTCTGCGCCGTACCGCTTCCGGTCCCCCTAGACACGCCGCTTCACGCTGCGGGTCCGGGACGCAGCTTGCTACCGGCTCCTCTCGCGCTCCCCGGCAGCGCCCCCGGCCCCATGCAGCCCCAGCTCCTTCTCCTCGGGGCGCACGGCGGCCACAGCGGCCAGGCCTCGCGGCGCGTGCGTCTGCTCCTGCGGCAGGTGCTGCGAGGCAGGCCCGCCGGCGACGGGCAGCGGCCGGAGTTCAGACTGCTGCATGCCGGGGCGGGGGCCGACACAGGTAACCGGGGCGCCCTGTCACCTTCGCGCTCCGTGCCAGACCGCCGCGAACCGCCGCCGCCCCTTCCTGCTGCTTCGCTGCAGTGGAAGGAGCGCTAGCTGCGCGGAGCGACGAGAGATCGAGATTTTAGTGCCATTCTGTCGCTAACTGCTGTGTAATGTGAGGCAAGGCAGTTGCACTCTCTGGGTCTCGTTCAGTAACCCGAGGGGTCTGGACTAAGTTTCTGATGACATGGACTAGTGCTTTCTCCTTCTCACTGCTGCTTTTACCCCTAGAATTCTGACTTGCATGATCTCACACACAGAGTTTGACGCAGCAGCCCTCGGGAGTTGTTGAAATACAGACTTTGACCTTGTTCTCCGAGTCCCAAGGGCCTGGAAGCCTGTCTGTGCCGTGTTCCAGCCAGGGCTTGTGGTGGCTTTAGAAATGTGCACTCTCGCCAAAGAACCTAGTAGTTCACAGTGTTTTAAATGCATCCAAGCTTTACAGGAGCTTTCCTTCCTCAAAGTCTCAAATATTCTTAGAGCTGAAAGTCGCAGCTTGCTTTAGTTAAAACTCTTGACTGTGCAGTTGAGGTTAGTGAGACCCAGAAGGGGAAAGTGACTTGCTGGAGATCACACAACTGACTGGTGACTACACAAGAATCACATGCTCTGGTTTCTAAGCTCAGTATTATTTGGCTCTGCCTGAGCTGGTTTTAGGAATCCTTTTTGTTGTGTTGGGTTAGAATGTTTGTGATGGTTAAGGGAAGGGATGTTTGTTATTGCTGCTTTTGATTGGTGAAGTGATTCTAAGCAAGATTTTTTGAGCGTTATTGTTGCCTAGAATAACGGAAGTATTCACTATGAAATTGTTGGGTTCATTGTTCTTCTTGCCTTCCCCCATCCCAATAATTTTCCTTGCCAAGAAACGAGTGAGTTTACATCCCATGCATTTCATTTTATTCGTTCGTCGATCCATTGAACACATGCTTCTCTCCCCATAGAGTTATGATCTCAAACTTTGCCTTTTCTCAATTGTAACTTATAGGGTGTTTATTCGTTTCTTTATTGTTTGTGTTTTTTGTTTGTTTATTGCTCCATTGTCGTAGAAGGCAGCAGTCAAGGGTAGAAGTGTAGTATGATCTATAGGACTTCGGAGTTAAACAATCTGGGTTGGAATCCACTTTGCACTGTCTGCCTATGGGGACTCGAAGGTAGATTACTTAACTTTGTGTTTCACTTTTCTTAACAGTAAAATGAGGACAAGAAGAGTATACCTGATATGGGTGTTGTGAAGATGCAGTTAATACAATTTGTGGTACACATTAATGTTCAATAAAAGTCAGTTTCTTTCATTATTCTTAGTATATACTTTTTCAGCTATGTGAGTTATTCTGTTTCCTTGGCTTTAGAGGAAATGAAACCAGCTCCTCTTTTTTTTTTTTTTTTTGGTCCTTTTTGAGACCGGCCGCACCGCGCTCAGCCAGTGAGTGCACCGGCAGCCATCCCTATATAGGATCCGAACCCGCCGCGGGAGCGCTGCTGCGCTCCCAGTGCCGCACTCTCCCGAGTGCGCCAGTGGCTCAGCCGGAAACCAGCTCCTTTTAGCTTCGGAACTGTCAGAACTATTTGGGTAGGCAGATGGAGCAGAGTTAATGGACGTAAACTTTTTAAAAAATAAAAATTGTTCTTTGTATATGAATAATACATGTAGACTGTAAAAACATTAGA